TAAAATCCATGTTTAGTCTCTTTAAAAACAATGATTTGTGTCTTGTGTCACAATCTGCAGGGATCCATGTATGCTTTAAAGTCACAAACACACAGTTTTTTTTAGAGCTTCAGTTCAGCATCACGGTACGTAGCAGAGCTGCAATCGGGTCATTTTCCTGGAGCGGCTCTGTGAGGATATTCAAGTACTCTGCTGTGGGTGAGTCTGAGAGGAAAAAGGTGGGAGGCAGAGGTTCAAGAAGGGGAGGAGGAGTGCACCAGAGGAGTGAGGGGGAGGGAAAGTAAGCGAGCTGAGGTCTGGTGGTTGGAAAGGAGAACGATACAAAATGTTATCCTTCAGTCGATTCAGTAGTTGCCAACACATACTAATAGAACTTATTCCATTGAACTTCATGAGTTGTCTTGAGTTGTCTTGATATTTTTAATTAAACCTACAAACCTTTTTTTGAATGTGTGGGAGTATAATACACCTGCTATTTTAACCAGAGAGTTTGTAATAAACTCAGCCTTAATGATTACTGCCACATGAGTCTGGAAAAAGTTTACAGTATTTGGATACATGTGCCTGTAAAGAAAAGTGTTAGTTTTATGCTAAGCTAAGTAGAGTGGTAGCTAAGTTTTGTTTTTTTATTGTCAATACACAGTTTTATTCTTCTTTAATCTTTATTTATCTGAATCTAGTCTGGCTGCAAACATGCGCTCATGCAATTGTGTTTTACTTTTATTTTCTGAGTAGCGAGAAGGGATCTCTGAGAAGCCATGAGCAAGGAATGGATGCTGCAGCTGATCGGACTTATCCGATACATCACAACATCACAGGAGTTTCATACCGGAGTGAAGACGGATGCAAACAATAAATAAATAATAGAAATGCATTCTGCCAGTAGGAATGATCCTGAGAGTACACAGTATCAATACAGAAGGCAGGTTGTTAATCATGGACAGGCGTTTGTTAAACAGGTAACAACTATCGAGAGAAAGCATGCTGCTCTGGCAGTGATAACTGTGAGCCTTTATTAGAATTAGCACAGTGCACGTGTGCAGACAAAAACTCCCATCAAAAGTCTCTATAGCTGTTAGAGCTGACTGACAGCTGATCCACACCTGCCAGCGTCGTCAGAAACGGACGCCGCTTCAGGAGAGGACGTCTCATTTCTCTACAAACATATCGTTTCTTCTCTCCTTGCATGGTTTCCTTGCGTCTTTGTCCCTCCCACCAGAGATGCATGTAGAGAAACAAGGAAACCATGCGAGGAGAGGAGAAATGAGGAAATATGTTTTTAGAGAAAGAGGAAAAGACGAGTGAGGGAAACGTGGATGCAATCAACAGACTTAAGATCCACCCTGTATATCATGGCCCATTTCCGTTCATTCCTTTTCAGATTGTCTTTTGTGTTTACACCAAAGCATTCCAGTCTTTTGTTGCACATCTGCCTGACCCCTTTTTGGATAAGTCTGCCTGGTTTGACTTTTGTCTCTCCTTATATATTTTATTGTCACCCATGCCAACACTTACAGTTTGTGAGAAAATAGGAATTAAACAAGAGTCCCAACTTATGATCCTGTCATTCAATACATGTGCACTGTGGTATTTAATAAAACAAGCAGCAGAATCCGCTCTCTATTAACTTAAATGATTACATGGTGTGAAAATCCATTAGTGGATTTGCTGTGAGAAAAAGAGTGTAAGCAATCTATTTTACACTCATAGTGAAACATGTTGGTAAGACGCCAGCCAAGTGATCATGTTATCATTACAATCATAGGTTTCAGTTTCAGAGTTCAGGTAATTTTTCCATCCTCTTAGAAAATAAAGTCTGCAAGTACACAGCACTCAGAACATTGTCCTAAAAATAATCAATACATACAGAGGCCGACTTCCAAGTCAAGCTGAATTATATGCCACTATATAATTTAACATAGCAAACACACAACTTTGCCATGTGTGCCCGAGTCTAACATAGTAATTGCAGTAAAAGCTACATTATATTAAAGACATATCTGCTCAAACTCGTCATTAAATCCACTGATGTGTTAAAAACTGTAAATCAAAAATTTCTAAATCAATTTGTAGTATTTTGTACTGTAGGTAACCATAGCAACAATACTTTCTTCACACAGCATTACCACCAGTCTCAGTGATCAAACTAGGTGTGTGCTAAAATCAGTCAAACAAAGATCTACTTTCTTTGGTCAGAGGCTATGGCATATATGAGCAGTCAGACTGAAACTGATGGCGTGATTAGTACTGACGTGATCTGACGTTAAATCAATAAAAAGGTTCTTTGGGGGAGTTTTGTCTTGACGATTAAGGATAAAGGGTGTTTGTTGGTTTTACATATTGTAAACGCCTTTAAGGCAAATTTGAGGTTTTTCACTATAATTTAAAAAAATGTGTGATTCAATTAAAGGTTCAGTGTGTCATATTTAGGAGGATCTAGTGACAGAAATGCAATATAATATCCATAACATAAGACCTTACATAATGATGTGGCTAATGTGTCGCCTAATGCGCTGCCATGTTTCTACGGTAGCACAAATGGATAAACTGCACTACAGAGCGCATTTTGTCACTACGTTGAATACAAAAGAAGACGAAGATGAAGTATCGTTAGTAGCAGTAGTTGACTGGTTTATTAGAAGTAAGAAAAGTAGAGAATTTTGGACAAATGGAGGCCCACACTTGTTATTTAGCACAAGAGCCGATAGTGTGTGTTGGCCACTGTAGCTTCTCCTGCGTGCGCGGAAAGTGAGGGGTGAGCGGTGGCTTTGATTTGCTTCTTCTTTACAGTATCGTCCACATTCCTACTTAAAAGCACAGGAACACACACTGAAATCAGAAGAATGACTTCACAACTCAGGAAATGGGACCATCCGAGGAGCATGTGAATGCATCAAGAGACACTTGCCGTTGCAATTCACAACCCTCACCACTAGACGTCACTAAAACGTACACACTGAACCTTTAACTGATTAATCACTTAGTCGATCAACAAACATTCTCGGTTACCAGCCTCTCATCTAAAAGAATTTGCTGCTTTTCCCTATTTTAGATGGTAGATTTCCTGTAGCGCCACCATCGGGGCAACATTTTAATTAGTCAAATACTTTGGCTTATTTATATGTGCATTTTCAATTTGTGCATAAAAATATTAGTGAAAACACCTGAAAGTCAACAAAAAAAGAAAAAGTCGGATTTGCAAAAATGTTTTTATGCTTGGCTGAGTGGAGCACTTGAAGAAAACAAGCGCAATGGACGCTGACAAAGCAAATAAATCATAGTGTAAATGAAGTATTTGACAACTGTTTGGGGAGTGATGAGGAGACTTTAAGATTCCTCAAATGAATACATGAAATAAATATAATATTTCCTTTACATATTCCACACATTTGTTTGAGCTTGACTGGCGCCCTTAATTACGTCATCTCGTTGGGCCCTCTTCTTCTGCAATGGTTTAATGGCATCTGAATGGAGAATTAGTGGCACCGACTGGTTATCTCAATGGACCAACTCCTAATACTCACATAACAGTAGTGGATGGAATTAATTTAGCATTAATTCTTTAGCTGATTTTCTGGAAATTCGGTTTAAATTTGCATGGAAACTTAGCTACTGTAGGCACTAAGATGACAGAAAATGCAGCATTTCAGTCATATACCACAGACAACATTATGTTTCTAGTAGAGCCACAGGCTACAACCAGGCCGAACAAATTTGTCAAACGGGACGCCTGCAAGTCGTCCTTCATCTCTCTCTCACCTCATTTCAAGTCATCTCTCATGCCCAAAATATATACTTAATGTAATCTCTCAGGTGTGTGTGTGTGTGTGTGTGTGAGAAAATAGAAAATACTGGGTGGGAATGTAAAATAGAAACTAATACACCAAAAACAGAGTCCAACCATTATCAATCCACACCAGTAATCAATCATCATTTCATGAACTAATCTCTCACCAGGAATTTAAAGATTAGATCAATGATGACTGACAGTAGAGAAAAGAGGGGTCTTGAATTCTGAAAAACAACAACAAAACAAGGTCAAATCTAATTCACACATATCACTATTCCAAATCAAATTGGTATCAACCTTTTAAAAACCTGTACTGAGCACAGAAAAAAATACAATTTACACTCAAACCCAAAGTGTGTGACAGGACCCAGCTGGATGGAGGTAATTTCTGTGTGTATTTGTGAAGGTATGAGTGGATGTGGGGGAAGGCAAGGTGTATGGTTAACCATAGCTCTCTCTCTCTCTCTCTCTCTCTCTCTCTCTCTCTCACACCATCACTTGCATTGCACTGCAGACTTGAAATGTAGGTCATGGTAACACACACACACACACACACACAGTGAGTTTAAAGGCTCGAAACAGAGACAGAACAATCAGATGTGATGAAGACGAGGCTCGATCTGTCAGCTCACCACTGAACTACTTCACTGTTCACTAAAGCCTTAAAGCAGAAATCCACCCTCTCTAAAAACAGTTAGATCTAATCAGTGTTTCAGCGCACGCAGCCTCTCACAAGTTGCTGTTTGATGAGGTGTTGCAATGTTCCTTTCTCTCAACCTGCCTTGTTTGGTGCCTTTTAGTAGCACAAGACAGTAAATGTGTGAACTTGTTGCAGTCAGCTGTGGTTGAGAGGTGTGATCAAAGAGACAGCAACTGCAGAGCGAGTTTTTTTTTAGCTGAGAAAAAGCCACTGATGTATCATTGTTTGGGGCAAACATTATGATCATAATGCTGAAGTACTGTATCTATCATTTATACAATTACAACTAATCAGACCAAGTGGAAGAGCGTCTGAGGTGAAGATAAAACTAAATGTGTGAAGTTTAGGGACCTCCAGATCAAGCAGTGGCCTTTAATTTCTATAAAGAATACTTGAATAGTGTTTGATATTTCCACTGAAACCTGGAAAGCCAGATTCACAAATATGTGCTGCAGAAATAATAGTCATGGAAACAGAATATTTATAGAAATAAAGAAGCTGAGCTGCACAGGGAGTTATAGTGTTCGATTTATTATGTACTCATCATGTCCTCTTAAATATATAGCTATTAGCTATAACATACAATGATTTAATGTGAAAAGAATTGGTATTTGAGGACAAAGACCATTCTTTATCTTTGGGAACAGTATATGTAACAAAATAATGAAGGCTTACAGATCCACTTACAAGCTTTTTGGAGCTTGTTCAGCGAATGGAGCTGGCTGAGGTGTAAACATGTGACTTAACCTCTTTAATCCTCTTCCCACTGTCCCGACAGGGCCAGTCAGCACACACACATGCTGTGCAGCCAAACACTGTTAAAGACAAACAGTAAGTTATTTATAATTCTAGTGGAGATTCAAAATTTTCCAACATACAAAATGTGTCAAGTTAAACATCTGAATGTGTAAAACATTATGCACAAGATACCTAGAATATTTAACAAACATGGAACCTGGAACAAGCTGATAAAGAATAAATGTGTTATGCTGTCAGGCCGTGATATCTAATGTGAAGTCAGGTGTAGGATATTTATAACCATTTTAATGTACCATATCATATGTTATTTTGGTTACTACTTTGTGTGTTCTGTTTGGTGTTTGTTCTGGCTGGTGAAAGTCATTGAAGGGCAGTTTGTGTGTGTGAAGTCAACTCAGCTTTATTTATATAGCACATTTAAAAACAACAGGAGTTGACCCAAAGTACTTTCCAACACAATACACACAAATACAAGTATAAACGAACAAAAGAACAAAGAGTATTTACCACTGTGTATCCAACTACACAATAAAACACTAGTGCACCAACACACATTAATAAAATGGAATATGGAGAACTTGGTAGAGATAAAATTCACAGACGCTAAAAGCAAATAAATAAGAACCATGTCAGATTAAAATGGATTAAAATAAATAAATAAAATAAGGAATACAATCAGGTAAAAGCCAGAGAAAAAAGGTAGGTCTTTAAATTAGATTTGAAGTTCTCAATGGTGGGGCAGGACTTGATGTTAGATGGAAGACTTTTCCAAAGCCTGGGGGCAGCAACAGAAAAGGCCCGGTCACCTTTAGCTGCGTTTCGACCAAAGGAACTATACCCCAGAACTAGGAACCTTTGGAGGAACTCACTGTTTTTCCACCAGAGGGACCAGGGTCTAAATGTAGTTCTGGGGTCTTCATTTTATCCCCTAAAAAGTCCCTGCTCGGGGGGGTAGTACTTTCTGAAAGTACCAGGTACTTTGGGGGGTTGGGTCTTGCCTTGCAGTGAAATTCTGAATGGGCGAGTAGAGGCTACTGGCTTTAACTGGAAAATGTTGGCTGTTTTTCTACAACTGCTCGTCTCTTTTCCACCGTTGTTTTCAAACCAATAAATCACAATCAACAGTCAAATAGCCACCCAAGTCTCGCCGATGTCCGCCTGAGACCATATGTTGTCACTAAATATATTGGAAATAGCAGCCAGCGTGCAGAGGTGTGTTTACGCTAAATACTGGGTCCTAACTTCTTGTTTTAAGTTTTCATCAGTCAGGAGGTTTTTACACAGAGCCGAAGTTGGTCTCCTCCTCTCCAAAACAAGCGGAACAGCTGATTACAGCAGGTAATTAAGCTCGTTCCTCCGACGCTCAGGCAACACAGACGCGAGTCCTGCAGCTGATCTGCAGCTCTTGTCGCTGGAAATGTTTTAATAACCTTCCAAATTGTCGCAATTTTATTTTTGTATTGCTTTCTCTGTGCCAGTTATTTTAATAACTTCATGGTTTTAGCCAGTTTGTTATCCACACAAGTCTTGCTTGTCCGCCTGAAATCGTATGTCGGCATTAAATTTATAGCTGGGAAATAGCAGCCAGCTGCAGCTCAGTGTTTACAGTAAACAGCTGATGGAGTTACGCTAAATACTGGGTCCGAAGTTGTTGTTTTAAGTTTTCATCAGCCGGGAAGTTTCTACATGGAGCAGAAGTCGGTCTCCCCCCTTAAAGAGGCGGAACAGCTGATTACAGCAGGTAATTAAAGCTAGTTAAACATCCCGTTCTTCCAACTGCTGCAGCTGATCTACAGCTTTTGTCAGCTGGAAATGTTTTAATAACTTTCCAAACTGTGCGATTTTATTTTTGTGTTGCTTTCTCTGTGCTGGAGTAATTTTAAGAACTTTATGGCTTTATCCAGTTTATTTGGCTACTATTAAATGTGTAGCAAACTATCATGTGTCTCTACATTATACTCCCACACAAAAAAGCTGCTTTAATGGTCAAGCTACGCCTGTAGTTTTTCATTATATTCCAGTGAAATCTGATGTTCATTTATAAATGTTGCTCATAGATAGTGGTTACAAATAATGATGCCTGTGCATCGCTTTGTATGGCTACAGCCTACGTCAGCTGGTTAATTTGCCTAATCTTCGCAGGTCTTTAGACCATGGTGGAAACGCACAAAAGAGTGGGCTGAAGGAACCTTTTAGTTCCTTGAAAAGAGATCTGGGGACATAAAAGTCCCCGGTACCTTTGGTCGAAAAGCGGCTTTTGGTTGAAAGGCGTGAGAAGGGGACTAAGAGGAGTTGTTGTGAAGATGACCTGAGCGACATAGGTGCAGAATATGGATTTAGCATATCAGTAATGTATTGTGGGGCTAAGCCATTAAGGGCTTTAAAAACAAATAATAAAATCAATCAATCAATCAATTATTAATATTATTGTATTTTACCAGTGCAGGTGAGACAAGACCGGAGTTATGTGTTGTCTTTTCTTTGTTCCAGTTAAAAAATCTTGCAGCTGCATGTTGAACCATTTGTAGTCGGGAAAGTGTTGAATGGGTCAGCCCCATATACTGTACAGGGAAATACAGTAGTCCAGCCGTGAGGTAATGATCGCATATATAACTGTTTCCAGGTCTCTATGGGATAAAAATGGCTTGAATTTGGCTATGGTTCTAAGTTGATAAAAACTGCCCTTCACGACACTACTGATTTGCTTGTTAAAATTCAAAGAAGTATCCATAAAAACACCTAAATTCTTCACTACATTGTGCAAGTTTGTAGTCAGGAGACCAAGTGAATTACTTAAGCTAATGACAGAGCTATCAGGGACAAATAGAATTACCTCAGTTTTATTTTTATTTAATTGAAGGAAGTTCCTCGCCATCCTGTTTTTGATATCAGTCAGACAGTTTAAGAGGTTTTTCAGAGAGTGAGTGCTGTCAGGTGTAACTGGTATGTAGAACTGTGTATCATCTGCGTAACAATGATACAAAATATTGTACTTCTCAAAAATAGTACCAAGCGGAACCATGTATAGTGTAAATAAGAGAGGGCCTAAAATCGACCCTTGAGGGATGCCGCATTTAATGGCAGCAGGAGATAATGGAACTAAATGGTAGCTATAGTTATTGGGCCTATAGTTGTTGTGATCACTGGAGTCAAGGCTGGGTTTCTTTAAATGGGGTTGCACAATTGCATGTTTAAAACTGGAGGGGACAATGCCATTGGTTAAGGAACTGTTAATTATCGCCAGAATAAGAGGGCAAATAGTGTTGAAGACTTCCTTAAATAGGCGTGATGGAATCATTTCTACGGGACATTAGGTTGAATTCATATGCATGACCACCTCCAGCAGCTGGGAAGATTGTCTGAAACTTCTGGAGGCAGCTAGCTGGATGATTGGTTTCTATGGGGTCAGAGTCTGAGGGAATGATGTGAAATCTAATGTTGTCAATTTTGTCAATAAAATAGTTCATAAACTTTACACAGTTTTCAGTAGAAGGAGCAGAGGTACCAGCAACGGAGTTAGGAAGGAGTTGATAGTTTTGAACAGTATATTAGGTCTATGGGCATTATTGTTAATTCGTTCAGCATAATATTGTACCTTAGCTGACTTAACAGCACTTTTATGGTTTAAGCAGTCTCTTAGGATTTCATATGAGACCTGGAGTTTGTCTTTTTTCAATTTGCGCTCTGCCGTTCTATAATCATGTCTAAAAGCCCGAGTGGAATCATTTAGCCATGGGGTACCAACAATGTTCACCTTGGGTTTTTTTAGTTTTAAAGGAGCTACACATTCCAGTGTGTCAGAGCAGGATGAGGTAAAGAGAGTGACTAGTTCCTCAGTGTCAGCGTTCGAAGATATGGCATCTGAGATCTGAGGTAAATAAGTGTGCATGAAGATGTTGGAGAAGTGTGCGGCTGCGGCTGTGGCTGAGTTAACAGATCGGCCAAGGAAATGAGGCGGGAAGGGGACATGGTAAAGTGGAAATGAACATAACCATGAGATGGTCAGAGACACCAGTAGCAATAATTTCAATTGTGTTAGTCCGAAAGAATCAGCGAGAAATAAAAACTCGGTAACCATCGGTTTCGATGGGCAACACATATGAATATTGAAATCCCCAATGATAAGCAGTTTGTTAGAGCAGGAAGCCATAAATGTCAAAAGATCAGAAAACTCTTTAAGGAAGTTACTGGCCTATACACCAGTGCGCATAGGATTGGGGTAGTGATGTTAATTAAAAGTTGAACCTCAAAAGTAGAGTATACATCTAAAAGGCATAAGTCTGCATTTAAAACAATTTTTAAAAACAGTAGCTAAGCCACTGTGTGTGTAAGATGTCTTGCCTAGAGTTTAGTGTTCAAGTCTGTCCTTACTTTCACTAAGCACGAGATTCATACCAGCATCTCTCCAAATGTATAACTGCATGTGTGTTTAAAATCAGAGTTCAAAATGGCAGCTCAAACAGGAATCTCTCGCTGTTTTCTACTGGAGGGGCGGACCATAAAACCTCACATTTACTGCTGTTTTACTGCAGATTGTGAGCAAAATGCATAATTCAGTAGCTGCAATGGAAATCTCTCCATGTGATCCTCTACATTTGGCCTGTATCCACAGGAATATAAAAAATACACACCAACAAATAAAAGAAATGGTCCTAGAAATTCAAATTGCATCACCAGCAGCAGCATTTTTAAACAGTCTGCTCTGCATGGCTAATTTCCACTCCTGAAGACAGTCCAAACTTCTCCACATTCCTACCCTCTGGGAATAATCTGTCTTTATTTCTAATGAATTGCACTGAGAGATGCATGTATCGCCTGCATCAACAGATCGCAATCTGAATCCAGCAAAGCATGTCTCATAAATTATGCGCTCCCTGAGCTTTTGATAAGCTAATAGACGTCTGAGTGGAGGCAAATTGATGCTGCGCTCATGTGATTCAGACAGAGAGACACGATTCACCATTGATTAATGTTTAGCGAGGGCTGAACGGTGGCCTATCTTGAACATCACACCTCTGTTTATACGACAGAGCACTTTCCTCTCTATTGTTCATTA